CCATAATTCAGGTTGGGTTAGGATGACGTGGTCGCCCGTAACTTTTGTTTTTTATCAATTTTTTTGCATGATTTTTTAAAGTTCTAATACTGATTATATCTCCATTATATTACCATATTGTATGTTTGTATTATGTATTTTTAATACATTATTTCGTGTTTTCTATGATATATAGATATGATTTTTTTTTAATGACTAGTGACCATACCAACAGTTGATGTGCGTAAATAGACTTATATTTTAAGTAGAACAGCTGACAGCTTAGTTAATATTATAAAGCCCATGCCATAAAACGCGTAATTCAGTTGTCTGCCAGAGGCGACGTGGCAAACAAGTGACCGTGACGGCCAATGAAAAAATTTAATTTTTTTTATGTTTCATTTGTTTTTTATGTGGCCTAACCTTTACGAAGCACGATGACCAATTAGATGCTTTCTTATGGCAGCGTCGTTATCTGCGAACGCTTCCGCTTTCTGTACCCCACGATTTAAGATAGTACTATCTTAAATCGTGCTGTACCCGTAGCTTTATGCGATAAGACCTTATCAAGTCTACAAATTATCTTGAATTTCAAATAATTATTATTGTATTTTTTCTTTTTATGGAGAATTTTTTACAAATATAAGTTGTATGTTATGTGGCTTATTTGTAAGGCGCAGTCGTACGCTCAATCTGCGGATTGTCATCAATTATGTTTGTCAAACCGGTTTTTAGCAACACATCCTTGCCACACATACGCAAACACGTGTTACAATCTTACCAACATACAACCCTACTAAACAAAAAAATTCCCTACACTCAATGTCCTATGTTGCCGCGTTTTCCCAGTAAAAATAAAAATATGTTTATATTTACTGCAGTAGAACAACTTCAAAACAGACCCAATTTTAGTGTCCTGTTGTTCAAAATAGGCTCCCTAAATCAATTTTGTTGATTTTTGAATTTAATTTTTATCACGAATTTCAAATAATAATTGTTGGGGTATACTTTTTATTATTACAAATTCGTACTTTGGTGTAAAATTGTAATTTAGTTTGTTGTCTTTAATAAAGAACCGTAATATAATACGGCGAGCGTTGTAGGCAGAACGATAGCTATGAGCCTATGACGCTACTAGCGAGTTATACTAAAAGTGCCATAAGACGTCCGAGTGACATCGTATCTTTGATTTTAATTGCGGTACCGGTCTACCTGATATTGTAGCGATATTACTTAGTTTTCCCAGCTCCTACATTAATATTTGAATTTTTTTCTTAATTTTACTTAATTTTTCTGGAATTATTATTGTACGTAGCATAAATTATACATTTCACGAGGTTTTTACGTTATTTTAAAAATGTTGAACTCTACTCTGCCTATATTATTATTGAAACTATTTTTATATATTACGAGTATAACCTTCAATTAGTATTTATACGTTTTATATACAAAAAAAATTTAAATAATATGCTTTTTGTTCAGCTGAATGTTAATCAGTTTGGTCAGTGCATAATATAAGTGCAAGTAGGTTTAAACGGGCGATTGTAAATTCCACCGATTTACAGGTAGTTGATTTTAGGGTTGGATTTATAACATGTAAACTCCACCGATACTTTTTTTTTACCTTAAAATAAAATATAAATTCCACCAGTACGTATTTTTGACCTGAAAACACGTAAACTCCATCGATGGTAAAATCCACAGATTACTACTATTTTTAGTAGTCACTAGTATTTTTATTTTCTTGAATAATGAACATGATAATATTATGTAAATATGTTTGGTCGGGATTTTAAACTGTCGGTATTATGATTTGTCGGCATTTTAAACAGTCGGTACTGTACTTTGTCGGGATTTGATGTGTCGGGATTTTACATGTCGGGATTATAATTGTCGGGATTTCGACCCAAACCCTTTAAGTACAGCTACACATAAACTTTCGACAGTCTTATCTAACCGACATCTCAACGACGGCGGACACTATCATAATATATTGAGTATATTATATCTTTCGCGAAACGAATGCATTAGATAAAATATTTTCGAAGGCACATTTTAGTTTGTGAGTTCATCCGTTGATTTCAAAATGAATACACTAACCGAAATAATCAGTGAACGTGGCCAAGTTTTGCTTTGCTTAAATAGTTTTAAGTTTTACAAACAAATACTCTTAAAATTTGATGATGAAAAGTGGTGATGTGAAAACAAAAAGTGTACCGCGGTATTAAAAACGATTAATTCTGGAAAAAATCGAACAATAACTTTCCAACAAACACTACATACTCACGAAGCATTAACCAAAAATACACTACAACGGCAAGTATTAAGTACTGGTGCAAAACGAAGGGTGATAGAGGACAATTGTAAAGCACCGAGAAAAATAATCAAACTCACATTGGATGAAAATTCATTGGATGGATGTAAGAGTCAAATACAGGTTAGAGGTGTGACCAATGCTAAGAGAAATTTGTATAATGCTAGAAGAAAGACAATACCAAAAATACCTAAAAGTTCGTTTGACGTTCATAATTTTTTAAACGAAACTCGATGTATGACGAGTAGAAATGAAAATTGTCTTCAATATAATAGTAAAGAAAATGGTATTATTGTATTCTGTTCGAAAATAAACTTTAAGGCTATGTGTAAAACAGAAATATTGTTTACAAGGATGGAACATTTGCGTAATTGCGTATTGCGTAAAGCATTTTTTGCAGCTATTCACCATACATGGATACTTAAATGGCCATTACATTCCTTTTTGTTTTTGTGTATTAAAAAATAAACACTTGTCACTTATTTTAAATGCTTTAAAAACACTAACGAAATATATTCATCATATGATTTTGTTTTTGAACCAAAAAACATCATTATTGATTTTTAAAAAGCAATTCACAACGTATGTGATTTAATTTGGCCAAATGCGAAATTGATGGGTTGTAGGTTTCACATTACACAAAGTTGGTGGAGAGCAATGCAAAGATTTGCAGGTTTAACGTAAGACTATAAAACAAAAACTGAAGTAGGTGATTGGCTTAGAATTTGTTTTGGATTAGTGTTTTTAGACTCCGAAGATGTTTCTAATTTTTTTGCAATAGAATTAATGTCTTTAAAGCCTGAAAACTCAAAACTTACACAATTTGCAGATTATAAATTAGACACCTACATTACAGAAGAAGCATTATTTTCACCAAATATTTGTGCTCAATGTAGTGTTGAATTGAATTTAACAACGAATGCATGCGAGTCGTTTCGCTCACATTTAGCTCAATCCTTTGAGAACACACATCCAAATATACATCACTTTACAAAAGCTTTATTAGATATTCAATCATTCACTTATATTAAATTAAACAGCATTAACGAACCTAATAACCAAAGAAATTCGCAATCAAAAACACGCCAAAAATATTTGAACACCATCATTTCGTCATTCAATGAAAACAATAATATTAACATTATGCAGTTCGTCAAAGCTACATCGAAACATTATCAATCCAAATTTTAAATTTTCTTTGTGTAATTTTTTTTACTTTTAACTTTAAATTTTTTTAATTAAATATTAACTAGGTATTGGTCATTATTGTATTTAAATAATTATATATTTTTTTATTTTTTTTTATTATTTATTATATCTTAAATTCTTAACTAACTATAATGATCATTCTTGATTATTATATGATTTTTTTATAAATTGTACAATAATTGTTTTAAAATAAATCTGTATCCTCATAAATGATATAATCTTACTTACGGTGGAATTTTCATCTGGTAAAAAAAACGTACAGGTGGAATTTACATGAAAAAAGGTCTAAAAAGGTCGCAATCGGTGGAATTTACATGCACTCGTTTAAACATAATATGCTGTGTGCTGGGGTGGGAGAGGGCGGTGTGAATCAAAGAAGCTACCAAACGATTAAATTATGCTACTTTACACATCGTAATTATATTATGACGTTATACAGTTGTAAAACAAAGGATTGTGAAATCTGAAATTCATTGATATAGTTATATTGTGATTGCCATTTATAAAGTTATTCGTTAGAGTACGAGAGATGTTTTCGGTTTATTAATTACAGCTAGCGAGTTACCAAGCCGGGTCTTAAGTTTTTGCAAAATACTTTTTTCACTTTCCACCACTTATCGAATACCTGATAATATATGTTGTGGTAAATCGTCCGCTCACCGGCGTGGTCAGATTGTCTATACCAATATGACTAAGTTTAAAGTTAATCCGATTTCACTGGAGGTGACTAACTCAAGCTCTAAAGTGGCTTTCAGATTTACGCTTTTAGAAATTCATAAAAGTTCAAGACTAGACATTATCCAACCTTCCGAGGTTCAAAAAAAGGTCATATTACAGAGTTAGTGATACCTATCATCGGTTATTTTTTGCACGGAAATTCCTATTTTTACTTTACAGCCTGCACACATCGTCCACCACCGGTCGATTGCCCTTGGTGACAAAGTTGAACGATAATTGATTTTCACTCGAGGTGACCTACAGGTAGTACTCACCTAATTATTATAATAACTCTGTATCCAAAACCGGTACCCACTTTCAGCTAACAAGGCGGAGGGGGGGGGGTCTTGTGGTAAAAAAATCTCTGTGAGAATGAACTCATAGTTTTTCCAGCTCAAGTAAATGTCTTAACAAGAATAGGTTATCAGGGAACTGATATTACTTGGCGAGTCTTCTGTGTTAAGACTGATATTTTTGTATTTATATTGATAACATTGTTCCGTCTCTGTTAAAATGTATTAGTAAGATTAAAAAAAATCAGGAATTTTTAAAAAATAATTTTATAGTTACCTAAAGTTACTTAAGAAAACTCCGATATTTCCATGTAATAGTAAAGATAATTATAATTAAATTGCCTTGTGTCGCATAAAACGTTGCCTGGTTACCGGCAAACAATTTCCTGTATATACTTATACATACAGTCGAGTTCTCGGAGTTTGTGGAGAAGCAATATCTAATGCAGCACATAATCAATAATTCTAACAAAAAATTTATTTTGCAGATGATGATCGGCAAAATCCGTTTAAAGAATTCTGTTCTTATTTTAGTATAAACTGCGTTGAACTTTTTAGCAAAAATTTTAATATTCCTGCTTTGAGTAATAGAAGTGTTCAGATAAATTTAAGTGGATAATAATTAATACAATAATATGTTTACTTGACTATATATATAATTATACTGTTAACTCTTAAGTCTTAACATGGTTGTATTTTAACATTTTTTTAACCTATTATTAAGCTATTATTAAGCTACTATGTATGTTATGTTACAAGTAAAGCAAAACGTGTACCTACAACAGTTCCACACAACATTTTTCAATATAACTCATTGAATAAATATTTGTTTTTCGTTTAATTGATAATATTTAATTTAAAATATTTTTAATACACTTAATAAATATATACTAGTATACATATATATATTTTTTAGAATTTATAAATATTTAACTAATGTATAATATTTGATATATATTTTTAAAAATATATTAATATTTATTAAATTTATCAAATCAAATATTTTTAAATATAACTTATTAAATATTAAATAATTATGCGCGCTGCAGAACCTAAACCAGTCACGAAAGCGGTGTAATTATAATTTATAATATAGTACGTAATAATATAATTCTCTTTTGAATTTTTGAAACTGAGTATAGGTATATCCCATACTCCATAGACATATCAATTATATTTATATCATGATTGTGCCAAGTGTATTGACGCTGATACAAACGCATGCACGTGGTCCGGTTATTCGCGGTCCGTTCGCCATTGGTTTTGTTACTTTTCGACTTTCGGGCGTGACGAGAGTAAGAATCCATGACGTCATAGCCCACGAAACTTTTGATAAAGCGAACTAAGATAACATATAGAATATATCATATCATCATAAATGTTTTGTTTTCAACAGTTGAATAAAATTTGAATTTATTTTGGTTTCATAAGTTTAATTATTATTTGTTTATTTATTTTTCTACATTTCTAGAACGACGATGTATTGTGTTTATACTAATTGTTTGTTATTAATTTTTAATTATTAACTTGTATATTATTTTAAAAACTATACTGTCACGAGTCATGACTTTACACTCATATTATATTACCCCGAGAACAATGAGTTTCACTTATGTGTTATTCTAAATGGCCATATATAGGTAAAACAAATCAGTAGATTCATAGGATATATTTAATTTTAAAAAAAAAATGTATTGAAGATCTGTTATTAATAAAATTATTGGATTCAAATAATTACTGAACTATTAACTAAATCATAGACAAAATGGTATTGGTATTATGAGTACCTATAAATTGACCTATATGATTAAATTACACAAGTTTTTGTAAATGGTATCCACTGATTGGATACTAATTAAATAATTACAATAGTTTTAATACAAACAATATTCTAGAAGACAAATAATAAAGTTTAGAAAAATGCATAATAATAATAATTTATTACTGTAGGTATAATTAACATAAATATCTATATGGTGACAATTCACCAGATGTAATAGAACATAAAGCTGATTCATGAGAAATATTAATTTTCAAATTATTATTATCATTTAACACATTAGCTGTGCTCATTGGTAAAAGTAATCTGCATATTCTTTATTTTCTCCGTTAAAAACACTGTAGTCTTAAAAACAGCTGATCGCAAGATTTATTTCGATGGTCGTTCGATAAGCTACTTTACCGTAGTCGATGGGCAACCATACTATCTTAAATCGTGCCAACGAGTCAAGTAAAATTGAAAGCTAATCTGACTCAACTTATCATGTCTGGGCAAATTAGCACTAGCGCTACTGGCGGATTTATTCGATATGATTAACATTATAAAGCATTATTTAAATAATCTGCAGCTGCCCGCCATATGTTAAATTTCCACATACTTTTATTCAACTTCCATACGTCCATATAACTGTGCCTGCCCATATTAGAATATGATTCATTTATACTTATTTGACTGATGTCATCTAATTGTACTCTTATTGGTACAGCACCATCCTTTAATTTAGGTTTTTTTAAATATATCTATGAAAACAATTTTGGTAAACCAAATTCACATATTTTAATATATACGCAGCATTGAAAAGTTTATATTATGCTTATACGATAAACTAAAATTTCACAACTATAGATCACTCATTCTTACCGTATATTTACTTAGACTCTGGCCAGATACCCATTCATTTAAAATATCTTGAGATTTAAAGTGCATTTCACAAACTCTGGACTTAGTTTTTAATGGTATACCTAAATTTTTTTCCCAAACTTGAAAACGGTATTGATCTTTTGGTACACTAAAGGTACTTTTTGTTTTTTTTTAAGGACAATTTGGTACCTACACAACAAGACATGTTCAAAAAATTATAAAACAAACAACTTTAATGTACTAAATAATATTTATTTTTAATAATATTACACGTTCCTTTATAAGTTATCTTGGTTCTTAATCATATATTATATATTATATACTATTATAAAGTTATGTTAAGGGTCTAATAAGTAAAAGAAGCCTAAGCCCAAAAGAGCAGCCATAGATAATATATTTAATATTAGTTTTATATTTGAAATAGTTGGACAAATCATCCGCTTGGAGTGCTAGTCTCGTGTTTCCAGTTTCTTAACACATGTCAGCTGTTCAAGAGTCAAAACTACTTTCAATAAACGACAATTTTATCATAGCTCGTTGGGCATCCATACTATCTTAATTCGTGGGCTATGCCTTCATGGTTTCTGCAAACATTTTTTCCTGCTAACAGTTATTCGTCCGAGACGCTCGTATATGAATCACGGTTAAAGATAGTACTATCTTTAATCGTGATATGAATAGGGAATTAGGGAATAGACGTAATAACGACTAGCGGTAGTGGCTAGTAAAAGTATAAACAAATTCGACCACGGTTCTGGTTACTAGAACTAAACAGGCCAAACGCTGGATCATGGAGTTTGCATCGTTTGCAAACGTTTGCAGCTTCGTTTAGCAAACAGACCGTCCTAATTTCTCCGTTATCAAATGTTTGCAACATTTTCCGCTACAGAATTTCCTCATTGAGTGTTATATTATTTTGTTACCGCAACCAAGTTCCTAGCTGTCATAACCATCGTGATTTAACTTATATTTATATTGTTTATACGGAGATTACCCAGTGACCAACTTGAGGTAGCATTGCACAGCAAATCAAAGGATGTTTTCTTTTTGAATGTCCCAGCGAGTGCAGCGAGTGACTGACCATGCTGGGTCTCTAAGTGCAATCAAATTTATATTTTTTTTTGCTTTGTGACTAAACGATTTTTAATTATTAAAATAGATAAGAAGACGTCGTCTGTTGTCTCCGTCTTACACACGTACGACACGGCAAATTTTCTTTCCCCAGTTTCAATAGTGTATTAGTGTTCTGCTAGTTTTGATATAAAAGTAAATTGACCTATTGACAAACTACGTTTATTTAAGAACATTATCTGAGTTATCTCAATTGTTATTTTACAATATTTTATTTTTTAAGATAATCATAAGCATTTTTAAACATAAAAATTGTACATACCAACTCATAACTCACTGGAAATTAAAATATTGTACAAAAATCGATGTCTAAACCTAAATGTCTGTTACCTATAGGCTATAATAATTAATAGGTCAATTCACTCTAATATCAAAACTCAAAACTAACAGCACGCAATTGAAACTGGTAACAAAAAACTTGCTGTGTCGTCCGTGTGCAAGGCGAAGAGAAGAATTAAACAAACGACATACATCTAGGCCAGTAAACAAAACAATTCATGTTAGCAATTTGGATGACTTGATGTGGCTAAACTACCCCAATATTAAAATTATGCCCTCTAAAAGTTTGTATTTTAATTAAAGTATTCAATCCTTTATTAGTTATCTTATCTAATCTACATAATTCATTCAACGTTGTTTGAAGAAATTATTGTATAAAGTTTGAACAACAATTCGTATGTTTTCATCACTAAGTATCGGATCCACCAGTAAAACATAACACGTATATGTTTAATATCTTAGTATTACAAATGTTTAATAGATTACAATGTGCAATACATATTACCCACAATGATAACATTTCAATATGTTTAGAATTTAGTCAATGCTCGGTAGTATAGCGCCTTTTTTATACATTTGAAATTTCGAATAGATGGTTACAAATTACAATTATTATCAATTATAAAATTGCAAATATCAATTATAGCCAAGTATTGAAAATTAAAAACAAGGTTCCACTTAAGCAGTTTTTTCCGTAAATAAAAAAATCTAAAAAATATATAGATACAGTTATTTTTTACAGACATTTTAAGTTCAAATTTGAAGAAGATTGCATATTAACACAAAAAATAACGTTTATCATTTTGTTGTAGGGAATTCGGTTCCAAAACAGCCCAATTTTACATAATTATATTTAATATTTTTCCAGCATCACTGACAATTTAAAAATAATATTAATTGAACTTACCGGCTACCATATTAATAATAAGTAATAACTAATAACAATTAACAATATAAATAATCCTAGACTGACATACCGTTTCAACTCAGAATGGTTTTTTGTATACTACGTGTATAATATGATATCATTGAATTCAAATTTAATACTATCCGTTACAGAGACCTCTTAGACACCTAACGTACAGCAGAGCGACATCCACTTACTCACTTTTTTTTTTTATCTAAGTAGACAAAGTTATGATACATCTTGTATAGCATTTTCAAATCTTAGATTTCAAAGTATACTTTTCGTGAATTTCTAACTCAAAATAGTTTACAAATTTTCGTGAATTTTAAGTCTCAGTTGAATAGATTTGATAAAAAAAATTAAAACTACATTTTAAAACATCAGTTATTTCTAAATAAAAACAGTGTAATTTTACGTTATACAATAGTTATTAAAACCTTTAGGGCCCACTATTGGAATTCTTATTTTTTAATGCATAATATGATCTTTGAAAAAATGAACCGCTGCTATGTGTGCATGGACTAATTAAAAACTATGTGTTTTGATCACTTGGGCGGTCGAACAGCATGCGGGTCAAGTGTCAACCACGACATGTCGCGGTCGATTTTTCAACCGCGGCAGTTTCAGCGGCTGAACCCGCGTAATGTGTGAACGCTTATCAGGCGGTTGCATTTAAAAAAATCAAACAATTTGAATTTGTAGGGCGGTTAAACCGCCGCGACTCGACCATAATGTGTGGCCCGGCCCTAAAAACGCATTATCTTTTGCGCCGCGCATATTAGAAACGACATCCGGACAAACCATCTGAGTATTATCGCTCTGTGATT